GAAGGCGTTGAAAATACTACTAACTGCATCACGGTTTGGTTTTCACACTGTAGGACTTGTGTATTTTCTCATTAAACCAATTTCATTTTCGAGCGAATATATTTCCATGTCAGGTGGAGCGGGTGCCCAAACGTCAGTGTGGTGGTGGAGGAGGAAAGAGAGTGCGAATAGCATCACCAGCAGCAGAAGGTATCCAAGGTTCCCCATTGCAAGATACGGATTAGGTCCCTTTAGAGATCATCCAGCGCCGTTCGTCGCTGATCGAGCAAGGCGTGGTGGTGGAGGCTTTCAACACTGAGTTGTCCGACATCTTTGCTGTTGAAGTGAAGCCAGCGAGATCGGCTCGATACTTGAGATGGTTTGACAAGAAGTCTATGGAAAAGGACAGGATTGGACCGACCAAAGAGGAGCTCTCAAAGGTGAGGAAAATATGAACATGGTTACTTACATGTGTTAGTGACTGTTGTACTTGAACTCGATATCAGATAGATGGGAAAAGAATAGAACATACAAGAGTAAGAGGAAAACCATAAGCTGGAGCTAAGATAGCTGCACAGCGTAACACAATTGTCATCAATAGTCAGATTATCAAGTAGCGATCGATTATACGGGCGTGCGCTATATCAAGTGCCCGTATATGTATCACAGTGACAGTATGGAAATTGTTGTTGGTTTACCCGCCTCCCTTCCTCCCTGGCGTTGGGTCGTGGGCCGGAGGATGACACTAAACACGTGAGATCCTCGGCCAATGTGATGGGGCCAACCTTACACGGAACGTGAGGTGCCACACCACATCACCAGGTTGGAAAGCAAATAACAATAAACTGAGCCAAGGGTGACTTTGAATAACTGCTAATAGCGCTAAGTATTGTGTCGTCGCACACGCCGGAGACCGTCGCCGAGTAAACGGGCCCAACAAGTTGACCTCGATTTTGTATACTTCTAGATGAATTCGTATGTAAACTCTTGAGCTCAGTTGAGGCGATGATTAGAAGTAATGATAGAGAAATATGCGAACGGAGATATGAGAAACGGAAAGTAGAAACGCTACTGATACCAACACCAACCGAGACGCACGCGCGGCGAAGATTACCAAGGTTCACATATTATTTACAAATCACGCGGTATGTGTCGCGAGAGCTCAACGGCTGCAGTCGCAGTGAAAAAGTTTTAACGAATGAGTATATGAAAAATGCGCTACTTTGCAATTTAACAAATGAATAAATCATTTATTCATACCACTCCATTTCGAATTCCCTCACCGAAGATTCAAGGTAGGCTCTCTCAGGCGCACATGCCTCTTCATAGGAAGATATTCTTTTTGATGGAACAGCAGCTACCGGGGAGAGATCTACCAACTGCACCGATTGAGCTCCTGGGGTCTACTTTCGGCCGATCTAAGCTCGAGTCGCTGGAGGTGAGCGTACATGTTGTCGCTGCGAATATGAATTTTATGTTCATTGGAGTTTCACCCGCGATATGAAAAACACTAGTGAAAAACATATTTCAGGAATACTGTGTAGCGCGAATATCATCGCGTT